GTCCATTTGTTCAAAGTTTGATTTAGTTCTAATGTTTCATTATTGATTTTTTGTCTAGTTGATCTGTCTTTTTGTGACAGTGAGGGAATTGAGGTCTCCCAATACAGTTGTATTAGGGCTTATTTGATTTTTCATGTCCATTACTAATTGTTTTATATAATTGAGTGCCCTGGTATTTGTTACATAAATATTTATGATTGAGTGTTATCTCTTACTGTTGGGTTGTTTCTTTTTCCAAGGATGTAGTGAATTTCTTTATCTTTCTTAATTAGTCTTGGTTTGAAGTTCATATTGGCTGCAAATAGAATAGCTACCCCTGCTTTTTTCTGGGTTCCTGTCATGTGGAGTATTGTTTTCTATACTTTGACTTTCAGTCTGAATTTCCTTTTGAGTTAAATGTGCTTTTTTATATAGCATATCGTTGGATTTTGTTTCTTGATGCACTCTGCCAGTCTGTTTCTTTTGATTGGTGAATTGAGACCATTTACATTAATGGTTATAACTGATAAGTATTGGTTTATCCTTGTTATTTTCTTGCTGTGGTTCTCTGTTTTTGTCCTCTGTTTAATTGTTTGCCTTTCTTGGTGGTTTCTTTCTGTTGTTATTCTTGGAATTGTGGTCATTTTTACCTCTTTCTAAAATATCTTTCATTACTCTTTGTAGGTTTAGTTTTGTCATGAATTTCTTTAGTTGTTTTTTGTCATGAAAGTATCTTATTTCTCAATTAATTTTGAAAGATAGTTTTGCAGGGTACATCAGTCTGGGTGGAAGTTATTTTCTTTCAGAACCTGAAATACTTTCTGCAAGGATCTTGCCTCTGTAGAAATTATAGCGGTGGTCTAATGAGGGGAAGGCCAAAGCAGGAATGCCTTCCACTTCCTGCTTCTTCCCCAACTCCTGTTTGTGAGCAAAGAAAATTCCAATAGGCTGCTCACGCATTGACAATGCCCACCCTAAGGGTCACCCCAATTGGAAATTATATGTATGTCCGATGCCCCATGTTCCAGCAGAGAAAGCCAGGCCTCGGTGGCCATGGAGTTCTCTCCACATACTTTGAATAAAGGCTATTTTTATTTCATATTGTCACTTTTATCACGCTGAAAACTCTATCACTTTCCTCTAAGCTTTACTTGACTTAATGGCTTGTGTTGAGAAGTTTGCCATGATTCTGATAGACTTGACTTTGTAGTGATCTGTTTCTTTTCTCTAACAGCTTTTAATAATCTGTTCTTGTGCTGAATTTCTGGGATCTTGACTATTGTATGTCTGAGTCCACATTTATTTTCGTTATAACTGATTGAGGGTCTATATGCCTCACTTATCTGTGTCAGGGTTTTTTCTCATGCTTGGGAAATTTTCTGCTATTACTGCTGCAAATAGTCTTTTTATGTCATTTGTGTGCCTCCTGCTTTTTTACTGACAACTATCATGATTGCATTGTTTTTCTTTGCATTGTCTTGTAGCTGTTGAATTGTTATTTCCTCGTTCCTTATTATTTTTAAGAGATCGTTCTTTTTGTGATTTCTAGCTGCAATCTTGTCTTCAAGGTCTAAAAATCTTTCTTCAATTTTGTTTCAGTGTTTTTTTACAATTTTCAATGGAATTTTTAATTTCCTGGATATCTCTTTGAATCTGTTTTAAGCATTCTAATTTTTTCCTATATTTTTCATTCAAGGTTTCCATCATTTGCCTATGATCTTGTATTTTTCTATTTGTGTCTTCTTTAGATATGTTCAGCAATTCTTTCATTATGATTGTAATTTCTTTCTTTCTTTACCTGAGAGATTATATATATTTCTCTTGCCTGATTACTCTGCATAATGTTTTCAATACTATGTTGAACAGAAGTGGTAATAATGGGCATTCTTGATTCATTTCTGATTTTAGAAGGAAAGATTTAGGTTTTTCTCCATTTAATATGATGTTGGCCATTAATTTGTCATAAATGACCTTTATCAGGTTCAGGTAAGGAGCTACTATGCCTATTATTTCCAAGTTTTTATCATTAATGAGTGTTGGATTTTGTCAAAAGCTTTTTTCTGCATTTATTGATAGAAGAAAGATTCAAAGCTACATAATCCTATTTATATGGTCCATTACATTTATTGATTTGTGTATGTTGACCCATTCTTGAAACCTTGAGATGAAACCTACTTGGTTACAAAGTATAGTCCTTTTGATGATGTGCTGCATTCTATTTTCCAGTATTTTATTGTGAATTTTACATTTATGTGCTCTTGCTCTGCTAGTGGTTCATAGGAATCCATGGGAATCCATAGGTGTGTTTGCATACCAACAGCTTGCTCACTCCCAGGCATGGGGCTTCAGGAGTTGGGCAGGTTTGCTCTTAGGTGGGGGACTCAGGAGTCAGAAGACAGGAAGTGCACCAATCCTTTTGCTTGCTTTTTATCCTCTCTCTGCCTGGCAGGGTGGTGTGCCTTGCTTGGGCTGCACCATTCCTCAGGTTTTGGAAGAGAGCTGATAAGAAGAAGGAGTTGGAATAGGTAGAGCCTGACCCAGGAGTCCAGCTTCTACAATGTTTGTTTCTGCCCTCAGGCTTGTTGGAGTACTTCCATAAACATTACTTTCGAGAGGGCTTGGGGCTGTGGTACAAACCAGTCACCCTAGTATCACTTCTGCTCCTCAGTGACTCAATTATTTGGTTTGATGTACATGTAAACCTTTCTGATTAAGTTTCTGTTTCAGGATGTAAGTCCTCCCCACCCTCCACACACAGAGTACTGGTGGTTTCAGTGAACCCTCTCTGAGTACCTCTGACAGGACTGGTCCTCTAGCCAGCAATATTCCAATTTTCCTAGAGTTTAAAGAAAATTTCCATTGTTATTATCACATTTCCAATCTCCCTTCCCAGTTTCAAAGCCTTCATTTTTGTGCTTAAGCTTTGCTTGATAATCTTCCTGTATTTTGACTCCCTTGGGACTCAGACTTGCTTTGTTTTTGCCAGGCTTAACTGTTGATGCTAGAGCCAGCCTCCCAGCACCTGGACTGCATGTCCAGCTGGCACAGGAACTGCTGTAGGTTTCCCTGAGTTTGGCTTCTGGCCAGCTGTTTGCCAGCTCCTCTGCAGTTTTCAACCTGTGGTACACTCTGCTCCTCCAGATAATGAGTCTTTGCCCAGCAAGGTTCCAGTCTTCAAAGACAATCGTGAAAGAGATTGAAGAGCGAATGGAGCATTTCCTCTTTCCTTTAGAAAAACCGAGTTAAATTTTTTGATCTCAAAACAGAATTGAATTTGGAGGCCCGTTGTCCAGAGAAACTATGTTCCTGTGTTATCAGCAAGCATTTCAGGCAGAGTAAGGATAACAACTTTTAGTTTCTTCTATTCTTCCTACTATTAAAAATGCATCCTTCTGGACTCAATGCAGAAAATTAATCAGAGGAGAATATAATAACCAGAGTTTATTTTACTAAAAATACAAATGACTGCTTCAAACCGTGGTGCTAGTGAATCATCAATGTGGAGTGGAGAGTACACACGCACGTGCGTGTGCACACACACACACACACATAAATGGAATGCAAGTGCAAGTATGCAAGGTGACTTCTGCACAGCACTGAAAATGAGTGTGCTAAGTTAATGTTAAAAACGGGTCTCTTACCCACCGCTTCACTCCGATAACACTGAACAATCTGCTTCTCCAGGGCATCAGTCCTGGGAGTAAACTTGTTTTATGCTCTCATACAGAAACTGTTCATGTTTTCCCATTTGAACCACTTAATCAAAACCACTTGCCTCCTTACACATTACGTTCCAAACCTAAAGCCTTTTGTGTTTTTCTTGCACATGCTTCTCCCATCTCACAACAATTTTCCCTCCACTCATTGTAATCTGGCTTCTCCAAGAGACTCTTTGACTACTCTGACTCAGAGTTTGCTTCCTACTATTCTTTATTTCAACTTCCTGTGTGTAGCTTTCAAAACACTTATTATTATAATAATGGTTTTGTTTGCTTATTTTTATTTTGTCTAATCTTCTTAGACTATTTGTATGATGAAAAGAGAGACCATATGTGTCATGCCGGTCTTTATAAACTCAACATTAATCCCAGTGGGTGACACATTTTAGACAGTAAATATTTTTGGAATGAATAAATGAATGAACATCAGTGCAAATATCTATCTTATACAGTAATGAGAAAGTGTAGAAGTCAAAGTACAACAGAAATAAATGTTATATTACAGCAAAACCCAAATTTATGTCAATAAATGTTTATAGGCAATGTAATGCATCATTGTGGCATTCTCTTTTTATTCTCCCTTAGAGATTCTTTGACATATTAACTTGGTTTTGGTATTTTTCTTGTTTTCTTCCCTTATTAGAATTTAAGCTCCTTGAACTGAAAGGCTTAATTAAAGTGTCTCTGTGTTTCTTATTCACCACACTGATTAGGTAGTAATACTGTAATAAAAAATAATTGTTCTGAATGTGATGACTATGCGTAGGGGGAAGACAAAGAAATTATAACTTGTCCATGAGTGAGAAGAGTTTGTTTATAAGGCAGATTTGTGGACAAAGTAAAACACATTAAAAACAAAATGACATTCAAGATAGAAAAAAGATCTCAAGGTGACAATATAGTCATATTAGTAGACTGTTCACAACTAACTATAAATATTAAGTTAGTTGGCAATTCAGGAGAGTGAGAGATCCTTTGAGATTGATGAATCTGGAAGAATTTTCATGGAGAATCCAGAATTTGGATTTAATCTGAGAGGGTGACTTAGGTTTATATAACGTCAGTTGAATCTCCTGTTCTCTGTTTGCTACTAATGAACTCTATTTCTGTAGTGGAGTAATTTTTTTTGGTAGTGACTTTTTTTTTATAAGATGAAAGCCATTTAAAAGGCTACAGATTTCTCATTTGGGTAGATAGCATCTTAATTAGTAGAGTTACCAGAATAATGAATACAACTAAATGAAGGAAATTAATTTAATAACAATTAAATACTTGAAATGATTTATTATCGTCTGCAAGTAAAGGGATGAATCCATGGAGTTTTACAAGATAAAAAGATGTAACTACTATCTTTCAATCTCAAGGGGATGAAGAAAGGAATGGCTTTGGGTTTTGATTAGTACATATTTTCATCTTTACTTCTGAAAAGTCCAAGTTTTAAGTCCTCCTGAAACATAAGAATCAAGTTATTTCTAAGGATGGAAACTTCGGTACCTGTGATACTGCAGTGACAAGTGGGGGTGTTTACCTTACTGAAAACATGAGCATGGCAGAAATTTTGCTCTACAGAAGAAGTAGTTTGGGTAAAGCAATTCCATTGCCAGATTTTCAATCAAATTGTTATGGGCATTTGGGACCCAAAGTGTTCAGGTTCTTGGTGTCCTGATCAAAAAACTTGGACAAAGATGGAAGGGATGTACATTTATCAAAGGTGGGAAAGACGTGTGTACTGCAGAGTGAGAGCAGGCTAGTGAGCAGACTCACAGGTGCCACAAGGTTAATGGTAGGGGTCTTTTATAACTCTCATTCCTGGATTACTTTCCTCCATGCAAACAAGGCATTTGGAACAGTTATCCTATTGGAAATTTCAGTTGGGCTGACATCAGATCTTGCTGTCTTGTCAAAAGCCCATTTGGTTTTACACCAGATGTCAATGACGAATTGAAAATAGCACTTTCTGTTTGGTCCCTCATTCAGGCTTTGGGGACTTGTACAGTCATCCACGATTCTGTGTTCTGGAGCTCCGCGTTCAACAGGTCACATCTGCTCCCTCAACCAGCTTGCCTCACGCTACTCTCTTACCTCAAAATCACTTATTAACAAATTGAGAAAGAGATTACAATTTCAACTCTCTAATTCAAAAATTATTTCTAAAATTAGCCTATTTTCAAAGGAAAGGAGGTGAGTAAGACAAGGATCTGTTATTTCTAGATTCATATAGGTTTGTGGGATTTGTATTGATATATGTACATGGAAGAAATGATTGGGATTTAGAAGAAAGATGGAATTTCGTTACAGGTTTAAATTAGAGGTTAAGCCGAGTTACACTGGGTAGGTTGTACAGTAGAAGAAACTCTGCCATTTAGTGTCATTGATTTGATATTAAATGGGTTTTGGAACTACCCTGTTCTCTATATAGATCCCATGGTTTTCACCTAAACAATACCTTAGGCATTATTTAATGGCCCCATCAAATGGGGTTCTGGCAAGGCCCATTTGTCACTTGCTAAGCCATCACAAATTCCAAGGGAAAAGGAAAACCACTCAGCAGAAAGAGTCAGGGAACAGGCAAGAGGCTTATTTGCTAAGCTTAGATGAATAACTTGCTGAATTAAAAACATATATTCATCAAGGACATGTCAGAAATGTGCCACATTAAGGCCCCAGTTTTCAGCGCTATGTTTTGATTTAGGGAGCACCCAATCCGCCATGTGCAGAGAGAGAGCATTCATTCTTTCACTCAATGAAAACTTCATGAATGTCCAGAGCATTGAAATCCTCAGGCAAACAAAAAAGTGCCTTGTATTATTATCTCAGTTGGAGTCTGTTTAGAATAAAATCGAGCTATTTCCCAAATGGCTAAAAATGAGTCATTCAAACAAGGAAGAGCACGTAGGTTCCTCAATGTAAATCTATTAACATCTATATTTTCTTAAGAGATTAGTTTATGATTAGGCCTATTTGCCATTTAAAAAGAAATCTTTAAGTAAATAGAACCAGTGATGATTACCTATTCACTAATAATGTTTTTACAGGACTTTCAAATTATTCATATAAATTACTGGGCTTCATGAATTAAATTTTAATGACATAAATAGCTCTAATTTTAAGTAAGCATTTTTAATTGTTCTGGTAAGTAGCTTAATTCCTGTTTCCTCTGGTTTTTTAAAACATTTTTTAACGTTGCAAATTTATTTTTAAAATTATGATGTATTGTTCTGGCTCAGCGTGTCTGTACCTAGTTAGATAAGTTCTCACTGAAGGTTGTTGGGAATCTGTGGTCTGGAAGTGAGGCCAAATTAAGTTCAAAACATCAGCTTACCTAACTCTGCTTCTGAAGGGAAAAATTAGATATATTCGTTAATTTATTTAATTGTTTTTGATACTTTTGTAGATAAAGCCCTGAAAACATAGAGTAACGCTTCAGTTCCAAAAATGTGAACTTGCACTTTGTCTCTGATTTTCAAGGAGTTCTGATTAAATGTCTTGATTGCTGAATTTCTGTTGATTGTATGAAAACATTTATTCATTTATCAATGGTTGCTATCAATGGTGATAAATTCTGTTTATGAAGTGCTCAGACACATTATCTGTTTCTCATTAATCCTTGTAAGGGGTTCTGTGAAGAAAGAAGCCACTGATTCTTTTGTAGCAACATTTGCAATGTGTTTTTAGCCAGTAAGGAAGGCTAGGTTAAACTCCATTTTTTCTACCCCTAACTTACAGCTTTTATCATTGAACCATGCCGTTGAACCTTTAGTTTCTGTGTATCAGTAAAACTTCAATAAGCAAAAGCAAAGAGAAAAAAGGTGACAATTTATGCATCCAAATAATTAAAAAATAGGAATAATCATTATCTACTTTTAACATTTTATAAAAGAATGAGTGTATAACCATAATTTTACATTTAAAAATGTTAGCCTGTAACATTATTTCACATTGCACTGTGTTTCGGGGGGACCAGAATTGATAACTATGTCTGACTCCATCTCTGGAGAGAAAGCTGACTTTGAGTAAATGCATAGTTACAATGTCCCAGAACTTTTCAACCACAAGAAAGCAAGAAGGTCACATTTTAAAAGAAAGAACAGTTCTTCCTGGGGAAGGACAGTTGGTAACTTTACAACAGCATACTTACGTAAACACTGCATTGAACTTTCTCACTTGGTGAACATTTTTCCATGGACCAGTGATCTCTGAGGACGAGCATTTGGGAATCACGTAGAACAAAACATTGCTTTTTCTCATCTGTTTTTGAGGAAGGGAGACAGAGCAGCGTGGTTAGATTTCAGTATCACTTTTTGAATCTATAGTGTAAACAAGGGCCCTTCCCAGTCCTGTCTGAACTGCAGTCATCTCTTGATACCTTCCAGTTTCCCTGCATTATCACAAAACACAGCCTTTTCCCCATTCCCTAAGGCGGTGGGCTGAACGGAGTCTTCCTGCCCACTTTATTACTATATAACAGAAAGAACTGTTTCTTTTAACTCTAAGAGCAACCAAACAGAAAAACAAGAGTATCATCATTGATAGGAGCTGGAAGAGTTAACTCCACTGCTAAGACCAGCTGCCATTAATGCAGTAAACTAATTTCCACAGCTTACAGGAACATGAGGAATAGTTTTCCTCAGTGCCACTGTTAAATAATTTAATGGCAATGCTACTTACATAAATGCAAACATAAAATTAGGTATAAACTCATATGCTTATAGCACTTTTAATTATAAAACTGGAAAAATTTGCAAACTAAATAAGAATAAAACCCTAAAACCAATAAAAATCAAATTAACAGCATTAATTTGATGTGACAGATGAAGTTTTGTTGAAATTAAATTTCTGCTCATAGGATGAATACATTACTGGTTGCCGGTGTGCAGTTCTGGAGTTTGGCATCCCTGTGCTGCTGAGCCAGGCAGCGGAGTAGCCCAATTCTCCCAACACTTCTCCATTTGAACTACAGAGAAACTTGTTTCATGGACCTCATTTACTTTCATTTGACATAAATGCACCTCTCATTTTATAATTTATCTCTTTTTTCTCCCCTCTCATTTGTTCAAGTCAATTAAACTACTGTTTGGTGGTAAAGTGATTTTGAACAAAAACACGAAGACAATGGAATTACATCATAGTTTTAAAAACTCAGCACAAGGGCTATTTCCTTTTTTTGTCTCTCCAGCTGCCTGACTCCAGAAGAAATGAAGAGTTAGTTTGCTTCTTCTTTGTACCCCTGCTACTCACGTTGGTAACCCAGGGAACAGTAGGCCCTCAACAACCATTGTAGAATCAATGAACAAATGAATATCAGCCTCAGGAAGGGCAAGACCTGGATATGAACCCAAAAGGAGGCTGATGAGTGGGGAGGAAAGTAGAGCAATGGACGAAAACCAGAAAAAGATCATGATGCACTGTTTAATCTACATGTGGATTTTGCTAATGTTCCACAAGAGAAGAAGGGAACAATAGAGACTATAAGGATCATATTCATGGAATTCTATACTGACTGCAATTTTATGCACAAATTTATGATTATGTTATTTATTTAAGAAACAATGAACAATTAATTCAATACTACAGACTTTGTCATTAGCAGTGAATACAAAATGCACATTTAAAGACAGTTAATCAGAGACAAACAGGTTCACTAAACTGATTATCAGTATTTCCTTTCCTAACATATGCCAGGCAAAGCTGAGGGTGGGAGTAGTCACTGTGCTTTGAATGTTCGTTTTCCTCTAAAATTTGCATTGAAACTTAGCCCCCATTGTGGTGTTATTAAGAACAAAGCCCTTAGGAGGTGATTAATACCCTTATAGAAGAGGCCTCAGAGATCTGCCTGGACTTCTCCTTCCTGCATGTGACTATATAGATTGAAGGCACCATCTTGGGGAGAGAGAGACAGCAGCTCTGGCCAAACACTTCCTAGCTTCCAGAACTTTGAAACACACATTTCTATTTTTATAACTTCTCTAGTATAAAATTTTTTTTAGGGCAGCAGGAATAAACTCAGTCAATGAGGGTAGACAGAGAAGGTTTCATGGATGGGAAACTTTGGATGGGAAAGGCAGAACTTGGAAGGGACAAGAGAGCCTGGCAAAAAACACTTGAACCAAGACAATGCCTTGCTATGTTAGAAGAAGTGGAAAAAATCATGGTACTGGCCTCTTGGATTGTCTACTGGCTTGGGTCCCACTGGCTTGTGTTGGAACTTCAAGGAGAGATGCACTGGGAGCATGGTGAGGATTCACTTAATATTTTTTCCATTGTTTATTAGTTTGTTTTTTAAAATTAAAAAAAAATTGTTAGTATGCATTTGTAGTACACAATGATTTCACTCATTGATCTGTCCCATGGATCAGTCTGTGGGCCTCGCCTGGAGAAGGGATGGGGATGGAGGGCTGGGCAAGAGAAAAGAGAGATGGAGACACGTTGAGATTCCAATCGAGTCTCATTTATTCTTAAAATGGCTACAACTTATATAGGGTGGAGGCGGGCCAATGGGGCAGGAAGAGGGCACAGAGTGTTATCTGATAGGTCATCGTCACATCCAGATATGTGACGTAAGCAGGAGAGGATTTTGGGTAATGTAGGCAGACATGAGGATCATGGGAAATGTAGGCTGAAGCAGGAAGTTGCTTACATCATGCACATTGTAGGCAAGGGGAGGATCATGGGAAATGTAGGCTGACACACAAAATGCTCTCAGGTGGGAGGGGCAGGGCAGCAGCTGCCATTCTGAGGTGCTCCCTACATCTCCTCCCTTATTATTTTATATATTTTTTAGGAACATGGCAGGCCCTGGGAGGACAGCACCTGTCTTGGGTCAAGGACTCCTCCTCATATGAACCCAATCGAGCCTTACCCGTTGTGGGCCTGCAGGACAGCTGTTGGTCCTGGACCTGTTTTAGGTGGCCGATTGGCACTACATATGTGTCCTAGTTGCCCATTTCTGGCTGCCTGTCCAGTGCCTCAGGGCATTTGGGCCACAGTATCATGTGGGCCGTCAGTGGGTGTTCTTTCCCGATAAGTTTGTTGTTCTGCCATTTCCAACCGATGGTACTATACCTGAATGGGCTTTGCCATAAGTGTGTCAATCCTGTTATTAACGTTATTAATGAGCGTCATGATCCTCTGAAAAATACAAGGTCCTACAGTAAGCAGTAACAGCAAGGTGGCTAGGGGTCCCAAGAGGGGGGCAATGTAAGGGAAGAGACCCCCCCACATGGAGGAGAAGGTGGTTTCTCTGAGGTGCTCTTTTTCTTTCTCTTTGAGATGCTCCCTTAGTTTATTCATGGACTCTAACGACTCCTGAGTGGTCAGCATAAAAACAACATTCTTCCTTGAGGGCAGCACATAAGCCACCCTCCTTCATAATTAGGAGGTCTAGCCCTCTTCTATTCTGTAGGACTACCTCAGATAGAGACGTCAGGGACGCCTGTAGAGCCATCACAGATGTTTCTATTTCTTTTAAATCTTGATCTACTGCTGCCTGTAATTGAGCTAGATGCTCATTTCCCAACACTAGAGCTGTAGTCCCTGTTCCTATTCCCGTTGCAACTCCTAACCCTAGCAATACAGCTAAGGTGAGTGTTGCAGGTTCTCTCATATATATATATATATATATATATATATATATATATAGCCGGTCTGCGATGCCTGGAGGTAGTAGTCTCCTGGGTGGAAGGTTATGCGAGGAAGAACCTGTACAAGAACACAAAAATCTGTAGACTTGTTAAAAACAGTGGTTGCTATACAGGGAGAGAGGCCAAAATTGCAGCCCCAAGACGTTCCTGGGGGTGGAATGAGGTAATTATTTGGCTTGAACTCTGAATGAAGCTGGGCACAGAGTCGTGCTGCCAGTGTTGGTGGATGGCTGGAGTCCCCAAGACAAGTCCCTCTACCTGAGACGTTAGGGAGAGTCAGCTTGTGGTGATTGCCCCAGTCACAGGCAGATGAGCTAGAAGAACTGTTAAAGGTTAAATTGAGGGCCTTTCCTTCATAATATGGGGGAGGAGCAGCCAAGCATAACCAACAGGATTGGGTGAGATCAGGTTGGGTATGATTTAAAGCCGTGTATGCCCCTTTAATCAAACTGAATAGGTTAGAATGTGAATATTGAGGGGCAGGTATATTATCTGCCTGGTGTGAGGGGGCTTGAGGAACACTTATGGTTGGGTGACTTACTGTGGTTGTTTGAACAACAGTAACAGGATCTGTATGGGACTGATTGTATTTTGGATTTGGATTATATTTTGGATTTAGAGCAGGATTTGGGCCTATGGGCATGGATAAAATCTGTAGGGGAATCTTTTTTATGAGAATAAGATTTCCCCTGTCTTTGCCTGACTCATAAACTTGAAGTCCCCAGGTACATCCTGTCAACCAGCCAGGGTCTTCAGGAGTGGTGACAGTGACGTTTAGAACCTGACAGGGTCTTTGATTGGCTGGTGGGTAGTCATCTAGGCTGCACCCTGGCAGCCCCCATGTCAGTTTAAGGTGTTTATCGGGGAAGGCGGGTTGTCATCCTGTTGCAACTGTTTTGCAGCTCCAAGGAGCACAAATATATTGTCCTGGGGAATTACAATATGATCTGCCCCCTGTTGCAGCGGGACAAAGGTAGAATTGACTTTGTCTGGGACACTGGAGCCCCAGAAAGAACCAACAGGGTGTGGGCACAAACCATGGGCTTCCTGATCCTACCCAAGTCCAAACCACCTCTTGGTCATTCCAGCAGCTAAGCTCCCATTTCCAGGGTTGATAGGGCAGTATGGAGGAGGGAGCATGGCAGCGCCATTTTTTTTTTTTTTGTCTTTTTTTGTTTTTATTGGTACCAGGGATCTAACTCAGGACAGCCTGCTTGCAAGGCAGGCACTTATGCCGCTGAGCTAAATCTCCAGCCCCTATTTTTTTTTTTTTTAACAGCACCGGGGATCGAACTCATGACCGCCTGTTTGCCAGGCAGGCACTTATGCTGCTGAGCTAAATCCCCAGCCCCTATTTTTTTTTTTTTCACCACCAGAGTCAGTATGGAGCGGTGCCATTTTGAGTACCGGGGCGGTGCACGCCATTTTGAGTACCCTTGTGGCCTCCAGAAAAAGGAAGTGGTGGCACGTTGCCATCTTGAAAAGGCTCTGGGATATCAAGGACCACAGAGCCGGGAGGGCTGGGTGTCTTAGATAAGTCCAGTGGTGGCGGAGTACAACTGCAGGAGGCAGATAATGCAGCCTCACCCTGAGCAAGCATCTCTGCAATCTGGGGATCTGCATGATGTTGTGTCAGCAGCTCAGAGATTAAAATCCAATATGAAAAAGCAGTTACCGGAATCTTTTTTGGGCCAAAAACCTCATAATAGTCTTTAAGAGCATCTCCTACTCTTTTCCACCTGTTTAAATTAATGGTACCTTCTAGGGGGAACCATGGACACACTGAATGTATAAACTGAAACTACTGTATCAAATCTTTTGTCTTAACCTTAATCCCTCTACTCTTGATTGCCTCCCTGAGGCCATTCACGAACAATTCATGCTCACTAAGTGCTTGCCCCATGCTAATTCTGTTCACCTACCCTGATTCAGGTGAGACGTAAGGTGGCTGTCTGCACGGATCACAGGAACGAAGTCCCGAAACAGTCACGCTGGCTGGCGCTTTACCCCCATGTGTCCTGCGTCGTTATCCCTTGTGCCAGGTCTGTCCCATGCTGGGCGCCACTTGATCCGTCCCACAGATCGGTCCATGGGCCTCACCCGGAGAAGGGATGGGGATGGAGGGCTGGGCAAGAGAAAAGAGAGATGGAGACACGTTGAGATTCCAATCGAGTCTCATTTACTCTTAAAATGGCTACAACTTATATAGGGTGGAGGTGGGCCAATGGGGCAGGAAGAGGGCACAGAGTGTTATCTGATAGGTCATCGTCACATCCAGATATGTGACGTAAGCAGGAGAGGATTTTGGGTAATGTAGGCAGACATGAGGATCATGGGAAATGTAGGCTGAAGCAGGAAGTTGCTTACATCATGCACATTGTAGGCAAGGGGAGGATCATGGGAAATGTAGGCTGACACACAAAATGCTCTCAGGTGGGAGGGGCAGGGCAGCAGCTGCCATTCTGAGCCGCTCCCTACAACTCATCACGGGGAGTTGATCCATGTGCATAACACATCCTAATTCTTTTTATTTTCCCTCCTATTCCCTCCATCTCTTGGACCCTTTATCATTTGCAAAAGATCTTCCTCCTTGTTTTCTATTATCTGTCTTTTATCTTGCTCTTTAAATTATTTATACTTTGGGTTTCTCATGTAAGAGAAACCATGTTATATTTAAGGTTGTGGGTCTGATTTATTTTTTTAAAGAGGCTTCAGGGTGTGTCCATTTCCTAAAAGGTGACTCAAATTTACCCTTCTTTATGGAAGAGTAGAATGCCATTGTGTATAAATACCACATTTTCTTCGTTGATTTATCTGTTGGTGGACATTTGGGCCATGAAGTATTACTTTGATACCTATGCCAAAAGAGAAATACTCTCTTTTTTTTTTAAAAAAAGATTGAATTCTATGTAGAAGACTCAAAAACTCCATTAAAAGACTACTAGAATAAACAAATTCAGCAGTGTAGCTGGATACAAAGTCAGTGCTCAAAAATCAATAGCATTCCTGTACACAAACAAAAAACTCACTGAGGGAGAAATTATGGAATCATCACCTTTCACAATAGCATCTAAAAAAGTCAGATATGTAGGGATCAACCTAACCAAGAATTTAAAAGATCTATATGCCGAAAATTATGCTATGTTAAAAAAGGAGATTGAAGAGGATATTAGAAAATGGAAGAATATTCCTTGCTGTTGGTTGGGAAGAACCAACATTGTGAAACTGGCCATACTCCCAAAACTCTAATGGATTTAACACAATCCCAATCAAAATACCATTAACATACCTCACAGATAGAGAAAACACTTCTAAAATTAATTTGGAAACAGAAGAAAACTAGAAGAGCAAAGGTAATTCTAAGCAACAAAGGCAAGGCAGGAGGCATCTCAATTCCTGACTTGAAACTATACTACAAAGCCACAGTGATAAAATCAGCATGGTACTGGCAAAGAAATAGATCTGAGGATCAATGGAACAGATTAGAAGATGCAAGCACAAGTACAAAGACACTCAGCCACCTGATATTTGACAAAGGGGCTAAACATGTTCACTGGAAGAAGGACAGCTTCTTTAATAAATGGTGTTGGAAAAATTGGCTCTCCACATGCCAAAGACTGAAACTAGATCCATGCCTATCACCAGGCACAAAACTAAAGTTAAAATGGATCAAAGACCTAAATATTAAAACAGAAACACTAAATCTACTGGAAGACAAGGTAGGTAGGAGTCTTGGAGACATAGGGGTAGGCAGAGAATTCATGAACAAAATGCAAACTTCATGGGAAACACTTCAAAGAATCAATAACTGTGATATATTATTGAAGTTTCTGCATTTCAAAAGAAATCACCAATAGAGTGAAATGAAAACCCACAGAATGGGAAAGAATTTTAGACAGCAACCCCTCAGGCAAAGGACTTGTATCCAGGACATATAAAGAATTGAAAAACATCAAGCCCCCAAATTCAAAGACTCTCTCCAAAAATGGGTATCTGAGATGAACACACAGTTCTCAGATGCATATATATACAAATGACAAATGAATACATGAAGAAATGTTCACCATCACTGGTCATTTGAGAAATACAAATTAAAACAGCACTGAGATTTCATCTCACTCCGTAAAGAATAGCTGCCATCAAGAAATCAACTGATAACAATTGTTGGTGAGGCTGCAGGGAAAAAGGAACACTGCTCCACTGTTGGTGGGAGTGTAGACTGGTGCAACTACTATGGGAATCAGTATGGAGAATTCTCAGAAGATTAGGATTGGAAATTCCATTTAATCCAGCTATTCCTCTCCTGGGTATTTTCCCAGAAAACCTGAAAAGGTAATATCACAGTGATATATGTGCACCCATGTTCATAACAGCACAATTTGTAGTAGCTAAATCTTGGAAACAACCAAGATGCCCATCAACTGCAGAGTAGATGAAAAAGATGTGGTATTTTTATACAATGGAATATTATTTAGCCATAAAAAGGATGATCTTGAAGGCTTCATAGGCAAATGGAGACAACATAGGCTATCCTCATTGGTGAAATAAATAAGAATCATATTTATAAATATCACATTGTGTTTCTAGTGTAAAAAGTAATAAGAAATGTAGGAGTAATAAAACCCCAAATGTGTAATTGCTATTGTAAAAAAGAGGAAAAGAAAGTGCTCTAACGGATGTAACTACATGTATCTTTAAGTGTGTAGGGTTGATATCCATATTACTAAGTTTTTGTTGGATAGTTGAACAGAACTGTTTGTAGTCTCGCTGTTTGAATGTCTACTTTGTATGCTTTACTTTTGTAACTTGAACAACTATTTCTAAGACATTAACTAAAGTCTAATGGTCTTTGATCCATTTAGACTTTAGTTTTGTGCCTAACAATACATAATTATCAACTAATGATTTCTTACTGTTTATTTTTTGAAATTATGTATTATTTCTACCCTTTTTCTGTTGTTTTTTTCTTTAAATAAAAACATTGAAATGTTTATATTTGAAGTTAATAGGTACTTCTCAGATGAAGTAGAAACAGCAAATAAATACATGAAAAACATGTTCAAAACCACTGACCATTTGAGAGTTGCAAACTAAAACAATGCTAAGATCCTATCTCACTCTAGAAAGAATAGTTATTATCAGGAAATTAAGCAATAATAAATGCTGGTGGGGCTGTGAGGAAAAAGGAACCCTCTTCCACTGCTGGCGGAGGTGTAGACTGGTGTAGTCCCTGTGGAAATCAGTGTGGAGATTCCTCAAAACACTTAAACTAAAGGTTCCATTCAACCCAGTTATTCGCCTTCTTGGTATCTTCCGGAAAGAATTAAAAGCATCGTACCACAGCAATGCATGCATGCCCATGTTTTTAGCAGCACAGTGTGTAATAGCTAAATCCTGGAAGCAACCCAAACACCCATCAACTGATGAATGAATTAAAAAAATGTGATTTTTTTATACAGTGGAGTGTTAGCCATAAAAAAGGATAAGCTTGAGTCATTTCTAGGTAAATGGATGAGCCCTGAGACAATAGTTTTAAGTGAAATAAATCAGAATACATGTGTAAATACTGCATGTTCTTTTGGTGTGAGAAAAGGAGTATACATAAGGACCAAAATGTACAATAGATGTGAAAGAGGAAGAAAACGGTCAAATGGGAGGGGGACCTAGGAAGACGCAAGGGCAAAGGAAAAAAGGGAGAAGAAAACAGTGAGAAAAGAAGAAAAAAATGGAAAGAAACTTTGTATAAATAAGGAGGAAAAGGGCTTGAAGGCAGATTTGAGGAACAGGAAAAAAATCAAGCTGTATCATGGGTAGGTACAAATTCTCTACGAGGAATGCGATCATTATGTATACCCAAATGTACCAATAAATTAATTTAAAAACATTAAACATGGCAGCAGTGTCTCAGAAGTGGCAGCTTTGGCAATGCTGTGACTTCTGGTTTCTCTAAATCAAGCTCCCAAAGCAGGCAGCGTTTAAATTGCTTGTTACTCATGTGAGATGAGATAAGGAGCTGTGTCAGAGTTTATATCAGTGCGTTCCTTCCATCTTTCCTCCCTTCCTTCCTCGCAGAAGTATTCTGATTGAAAAAGTGTGCTGATCTAAACACTGTCTTTGATGTGGCGAATTATACTGTGACCCATTTTCCGTAACTCATTGTGGTGGTAATAAATAGTGTGTGGATTTGAATCAGTTCCCAGGCCACTCTTTGAGTGGTACTGTTCTAAGCTGTTTCTACCTCCTTTCCCCCTGTCAATTTATTTCCAGGTCCAGAAAAACACAATATCTTATATGTCTATTTGTGCACTTGAAAATATTTCTGCAAGTCTCTATAAGTTTCTATAACAACATGTTTTTGTACCTGTGCCAATGTGTGATTGTATTATAAGACAGAGCGTCACGGAATATTTAAGCTGGGACACTAGAGGTTGTATCTAGAAACTTCGTTTGATACATGTCTCTCAAAAAAAAAGAATAGTCTCAACGGATTTCTTGCTGTGCACAAAGAAACACAACTCAATGCTCAGTAGAAATAATAAATGCTGTCTACAAATAGTAGCAAATCCATTTGTTTCTGTAGGTATAAAAGAATTTTTTCTTTTAAAACCATGGTAACAAAAATAACACAGAGTAGATGATTTTTGTGAAGAATTGTAGAGATTGCTGATAATTTTTTCATACTGTATGGTAAAACAATTATCTTCAGTTAATTTTATTAAAACCAACTTAGAATGATTAAACGTTTTAACAGATCTATCAGTGCCTGTGTTCCTAGGATGCATCAGCCTAGCACATTCATTATTAATGTACCCCAAAGAGATGGGAACTGGTTCCTTTAAAGTAGCGTATTATCATAGAATCTTAAAACTCACTCAATGAAATCTTATTCTTTGGTATTTAAGATCTTTTATTCCTGAGAATTTATTCATTCATTCATTTATTTGTTTACTTAAATATGCTGTGGAAATGAAACCCAGGGTTAATCATGCACTCTATTGTTGAACTACATGCCCAACCCCTAGGGGGAATTTAAACTAAATTTATTTATTTATTGTTTAACTTAAGAAGTAATAAAGCAAAACCCGGAATTTACGAGTAGGGCAATACATCTGAGCAGTGAGAATAACCTTAAGAAGCGATGGAGCGTTGCTCTTTGCTGCCC